TCCGTTGGTGCACGAGTTGAAAGTACCGTCCATCGGTAGGCTGGAGTATGTTGATCTTCTGACTAAAATATCTCGGAAAATATTTTTCACTGGAGGATGAACATTGGTGGCAAGAGAGAATAGGTATTTATCGAAAGCTGTACGGAGTTTGATGTCCATTGGATTAATTTTAGGTGTCTTAGAGGCCGTAGTTTAGAGCCGGTTGGCAAATTTCGATCGCTGACTTACCTCCCTTGTCTATTTTTATGTATGAGGGGGAAAAAATATTAAAATGGCTTTAAAAATCAATCTTTATTCATAAAACTATTTATAATAATTAAAGAAAAAAGAAAAGAAAAAGAAAGTCTTGAAAAGTCTCAAGAAACGAAGTAGAAAAAAATTACGGCTTCATGAGGGCTCGAACCGCGAACCCCGTAATTAATACTTTGACACCGCGGTGAAAACAACACAACTGTTGAGCCTGGGCCCCCTGTGGCATCTATTCATTATGAAAGCAAGACCAATGTTATGTTATGATTCATCAGGATTCATGTAGAGTGAAGTCATTAAAACCGTGAAACAAAAAATAGTCAAATAGACACTTCTGGTTATGTACTTCTGGTATTAGTGTAATATCTATTCAGTTTTTTTTAGTGTTCAATATAATATTGAATACAGCTAACTTTTTTTACCAGTTGAGTATCGATAAGTACGTCATTTCGTAGCCTTTTTCTGATGCTGGTAGATTTTTCGTAATCAAGATGGATGTGATCTCGGGCCCGGGGGGGGGACTCCCTAATATCAAAGGGCGGGGGTCCTCGGCGGAGATTGTGAAAATGACCCCTAAAAGGGACCTCTATTGTGAGATGGTGGGCGTGGCAGTGCTGAAATTTCAACCCTAAAAGGGACCAATCAATAACAGGTCATTTTATTTTGGTTTACCGATTTTATTTGTGTTTTACACAATCATCGAACACCGTCGGTTCGTATTGAGTTTATGACGACGTTGCCATTTTATGACAGRTTAGGGTCGCCGTATACCCTAAAAGGGACCACAAAACACAGTTGGTAGGAATTCTTGTCATGATCACCCTAAGCGGGACCAAAATACTGATTTCAAACCCTAAAAGGGACGCCGAGGACCCCCGCCCTTTGATATTAGGGAGTCCCCCCCCCCGGGATCTCGGGTTGATCCAGAAAGCTAAAAAATCATTTCGTAGGACGTAGACGTTTGCTATTAGTCCAGCCCCATACAGAGAGGTCTTTAGATCTACTAATTCAGTTTACTCAGCCGTTTCGGGACATCGAGTGTCATTTAAATTAGTCCGCCATTCAGTCGTATCTCTATGAAATCAGTTATAAAAGCTGTTTCCAAACTTCCAGCTGAAGCTGTGCTTACCGTTTCACTATAGGTTTACTTTGTTTCTTCAGTTATTTATACACGTGATGCAACATTCACGTGAAATGCATGTATGTTGCAATAACTCACTAGGGGTCAAGAGGGGGTGGTTAATCAAAACACATATCGCGATGGCTACCAACTACCTCTTTTTTATGCATTTATTCCTAACATCGACACTGAAGAAAATGAAGGGAGGGGAGGGGAGGGGAGGGGAGGCCGTCGGGATAAGGTGCTGAGTTTCGTAGATCAGGTAGGACAGTCAGGACGCCTATGATGTGCAGAGAGATGGATTCGACTCCTGGTTTACGTCCTTCCGGAGAAGACGAAGTGATTGACCGTGCGGTCCGGGAATCGAATCCAGGCCTGCAGTCACATGACACTGAGCACGTCTCTCCCGGGGTTTTTTGACAGAGAATCAAAAAGAACACTCCATATTATTTACAAACGAAAAATAGACACATGTTGTAGGCTGATTAAGGCAATAAAAACCCTAAAACGCTTGAAATTGAATTTTACCGTAATTAATTAATGCACGATGCGACTTCAAGGCAGGAAATGAACTTTGCAAGAAGACCACGATTTTTCTTGTTTTACGATGCGGCCGAATATAATCAAAACATTTCAAAACGAGGTTTTCAAATAATAACGGGATAGTTATGGTTCAGTTACTAATAGCGATAGAGGTAAAGAAATGGAAAGTGGAATGGGAAAGCACAAAAATAAGTTAATCTTGCTTTGGCTGAAATCATTAGCATTGAGGCATGCATGATTCGAAACCGGGATTCATTATGTGAAAATTGCATGTAACCGGAATATCACACGATGACTGACATCTTGTTCAGTGTGGTTACAAAGCAATCGATACTTTGACCGCCTAGTGCAGAGCAGAGTGATTTTTCAAGGGACAAGTGATCCCATCCATAAATTCATATCCCAAAAAAAACAATACACCAATGAGTTATTGCAAACGTCACCTATGTAAGCCGATTGATTCGAAAAACAAACACGATTTTATAAACAAATGTAAATTTGGGTTCAAGCATGACGAATTCTTAAAACATTCATTCTGGTCTAGTAATTTTACTGAGAAAGACGTCATAGATAGGCAACGCAATCTCATTGGCTAATAGTTAAACCGCAAAATACGACACCCACTTGATGAATGTTTTCCACCAATCAGATCGCTCCTAGTAGAAGTACGTATTTCGGCAATGTTTGACAGCTGAACTGCTTATAAAGTGTCGTCTGTCCATCACTGGAAAGACCTTTCGTTTGACTTGAATGGTGAATGAAGTACACTAATTTCTAAAAACGTAAAATGGAGAATAAAGACGACAAAGTTAATCCAGTGCTTTTGGTTCGTGTGACTCCCAGCACAACGCCGCTATTTGACGAGGTTGAGATGGAGCCGGCTTCAGCCAGTGTAATAGATCTAAAAGTACCAAATAAAGGCAAAGACACCGACTCTACCAAATCCGGCGTGGTTCCCAGCGTCGAAGTCGAGAATCGTGAACAATGGGGAAAGAAAAGCGATTTCCTGCTTTCTTGTATTGGTTATGCTGTTGGCCTGGGCAACATTTGGCGTTTTCCCTACCTGTGCTATCAGAACGGCGGAGGTAAGCTCAGTCTCAGGTCTTTGATAGACCATGATTGGACCATCCTTGAATCATAACCGCCCTAAAACCTGAATTTCCTGATGTAGTTCTGGATCTAGCGGACCTTCTGTCTAGCACCATACGGTCTATAAACCCTCTATTAAAGCGGTTTTGAAACAGCATGATTTGATAGATGTTTTGTTTTCTCCACTAGAATGGCGTGATCAAACATTAGTAATCCCTCACAAGATCCAAAGCTAATAGCTTTTAAAGTATAAGTCTTATACTAAAATTGCTATTCTTCTAAGTTGAATAATATGGTTTAAATGTCCGGCATTTTTTTAGTTTGGGCAGATTTTTCAGTCAGTAAGAATTATTCTGATATTCCTTTGACCAGAAAGATAATCTAGCTTAAAGCTGCGCATGCAGGCTGTTAGCAAGAGCTAAATTATAAAACGCGTTTTAATAAATTCAATTATCAAATAAGAATCTTCGAACATTCGAACAGTTGAGCATTCTTTTCATGATCAACTCCCTTCAGTGAAATTCAAGCCTCGTGAGCCCCATCAAGTCACAAACCACAAGCCGGACCAGAGTTCAATTTTCAACTTCCTTTGCTGGGAAATACCGACCACTAGATTGAGGGCTCGTATAATAAGTATCTATTCCTAAGAGAAGTGTTACATTAAATTTATATTCTTCTGAGTAGAAACTGTAGTCTAGTGCTTTTCAGTAGTGTTTTATTTCGTCACTGGTGAGCGCTAATCTTCCCGCCAAAAGTTGTTGTCCTTCAAACGGCGACCGCAGGATTCTTTCGAAAGTAACGCATTTTCTTTTAATTTTTCTTTTTATCTCTTTCGGTCTCTGCCGAGATCTTTCAAGTTTACATGTAAACGTGACTTTGGAGCGGTCTAGTGATAATTTATTATCGGGCTCAACAGTTTGAAATGTTTGATTTCATAAAAATCCAACAGCCACCCTCGACGGTCGAAAGGTTATCGCGCGGGAGTTTTCCTCACGTATTCTAAATAAAAACATTTCATATAAAGAAGCAGCCCTGCTATAAGACCAAACCCAAATATGGATTGGTCTAAAATAGTCTCAGTTTAAGCATGTGGTCTTCATGAGTACAAATTAATTCCGGCGGAATAATCTATGATGAATTTATAATTTTAACTTTTCAATAAAAGTGTTTACATTCCTTGTAAAATGTAAACATTGCTGAAGCGACTTCAACAAGAGCACGTTTCATTTCGTAATGTTGTATTGTTCATACAGTTAAACCATGTTTTGTCTAGAATTTGATTACAAAATATGTTTTTAGAGGCAGCAAGCTTAATTTTATTCTGAAACTGCCATTTCACAGCGTTTCCCATTACCAAATTAATATGATTAAATGTTGTCATTTGGATTATAGATTGTAGCAAATTTAATATCAAAGTAGTCAGTGGTCACTTCTTAAATATAATCCTCATCGACCCCAAGGCCTGCTTGTAGAAAGGATTGCAGTATTGTAATCACCAGTGTGGATTAGTGTTGTATTCAACCTTCATGCTGGCTTTTTAGGACTTATATTAGGGCAATATGTTAAAAAAACATCTCTTCATGATTATATCCAAGCATACTCAGGCGTGCTACTCTCTGAGAGATTGATACTGACGTGACCTTAATATTTCATTTATGTCCATATAGCCGGGGACATTAATGTCAAGTATTCAGTATTTGTACTTTGAACCATGGGGAGAGCGGTATCCAGGCCATTAGTTCAATCACTCTTTAAATTGCCAGACATAATTCCTTGGGATTATCGACATTCCAAGTTAAATCTCATATCATGGTGTATGGTGATTTCATTGTTGTTTGAATACATAGGTCATACAGTGCAGTCAAAAATTATTTAGTGATTTAATTTTGAAAAAAAAAATTCTGTTTAAAAGTCAGTCAAGAATACACATTCCATGTCTACAATTATGTTTTGGGTATTCTAGTAGCGTAAGGGTCAATACAGGAAATCAGACCACCACCTGTAGACAAGGAACAAAACAACAATAAATATTAGTTGGGCTGCCCGCACAGCTAGCTGAGTCTAGGTTTTGGTCTTTTGACTTTGCACACAACAAAACTGGACAAGCAAATTCTGAAAAAAGTAGACTGTGCTGTTAATTGTAGAATGTGGCTTATTACATTTAACATGATTGTGGGAAAATGGCATGTAACTAACATGTAGTCTTGTGTTGACTCAATGTAAATCTAGTGTTCGGGTTGATGAGAGAGTCTTTTTAATAAATAAATGATAACAACTGATATAGTTTAAAATCTGTCAATTTGAAATCAGTACAAGATAAAAAAGATTCATGAAAATTTTGAACATTGCCTTTTGTGTCAACCAAACTTGATGCATACAGAACAATATACGCAACCTTGTTGAATCATCTGACTTATAGCAATAATGTATTTGTTAGTATTTTAATATTCATAAAATATTCTTCTTATTCTCAGCAACATTTCTCATCCCCTACTTCCTTGCTCTTATTTTCAATGGGATACCATTGTTTTATATGGAGCTTGCCATTGGCCAGTACCTTAGTTTGGGACCAATTGGTGTATGGACTGCTATCTGCCCTATGTCGAGAGGTATAGTAATATTAATTGTGATTCTTATTATGGTAAGGAATATTGTGTGGAACCTTCAGGTGTTTTCATTGTTGCTGCCCATTTCAGAAGATTCATCTCAAAATTCTCTTGAAATGGTCTTTTAGCATGATGTTTATTCATCACAATCAGTGTCGCCAAAAAATCTCTACAATGGGTTCTAATTGTGATAATCTTCAAAAGCTAAACAGCTATTTTTTATTATAGGTATTGGTTTTGCAATGATAACAATATCATTTCTGGTTAGTGTATACTACAACATCATTATAGCTTGGTGTTTGCTGTTCCTTTGGAACTCATTCCGTGCTGATGTGCCTTGGAAAACATGTGGTAATGAATGGAACACTSATCTTTGCCGGTTAGTATTATGTGGAATTTATGRTGAACTTTGTTGAGTGCCAGACAGGAAACAGTAAATACCTTGTCGGCTTCATTTGAAACCTTGTTGTACCCCTCTTATAATTGACAATGCAGTGCTGACCTACTTAAAATAGACATGGAAAACAAATCAGTACTATAAATAATGATATCTAGTAAGCAAAGATAGTTTTAACTACAATTAAAATAAAATATCATGCATAATATGTTCTTGTTGTTATAATATTTTCTTTGTTTTCTTATTACTTTACATGTACTACAGAACAGAGAGATATGGCAATGTCTCCATAAATTGTACTAACTTAGGACTGGCTGCAAACTGTACACCACTGTTTAAATCCCCRCCAGAGGAGTTTTTCAAGTAAGTAATACCATGTTTTGCAGTAGTTTAAATCCATCTAAACTGAGAATGAAAGTGATTTATTTTTGCACATGTGATTATTTAATTAATTTATTCCTGCTTTTCGTTTTTCATTTGTTTATGCATCTCTATTCCTCTAACTCTTAATTTTGTTGAAAATATACAAAACTGTACAGATAAAGTTTTTATTGACCTTAAAAAGAGCCTTTTGAGACTGCCCATCATTCTGCATGGCTACTGAGGAAATAGCCTGYGTTACATCYGGAATATTCTTCAATATATCRGTATTYGTGAAATTTCCGGGATGTAACGCAGGCTATTGAGGAAACTTCAGTAGTGTTGTTTTCAAGACATTATAAGCAAAGGTTTTTATTAACAACAGCAATACTTTTATTACATTTATTAAGTAAAAAAGATACAAAGAATACAATTGCTAACCTAAATACATTAGAACTACTATTGGTGGGTGCAGTAAAAAAGATAGTTGTTCTTATCAAAACAATAGTTTATAAAATATTCAAAAACAGTCTTCTTTTACTCATCCTTAACATTATCTATTTATTATTCATTCTTAAATTCAGTATTAATTTGGTTCTTTCTTAATTATCAACAGCAACAAGATTCTCCATATTAGTGATAGTATTGGAGATCTTGGTGAGATTCGCTGGGACCTTGTAGTTTGCCTGATCCTAGCCTGGGTTATGATCTATTTCTGTCTTATGAAGGGAGTCAAGAGTTCTGGAAAGGTGAATACCCACTRATATCTGCCTCAAGACAGGTCTAATTACAGAAATATAATTTTATTTTTTACTTTGTTGAAAAAAATTGCTAACACTCAGACAACATACACTTATCTCAAAAAACGTTGTCTGGGAGAATGGCGAGTGGCGATTGTCAAAGGGAGAATGCACGACTGAAAGGGATTATGGTTACACTGTTTGACATAGAAAAAATTCAATTGTTTGGTTTACTTGAAAATGGAAAATGGAAATAGAGACTAAATGGAGCCAATGATGACCATAGAATATTTTATGGTAAAAATCAGTTATTGTTCCTCATCTATTAGCAAAACCCATGGCTCCTTTTGGTCGTGCAATCGCCGTTTGACAATTGCCATTTGCCATTTTATCTGACAACCTTTTTTGAAATAGGTATATTTATGACAACAAGTCTTAATGTCAAGATATTGAAAAAATGCTAAAAAAATCAAAGGATTATAATCAATTTGAACAAATTATATATTTTATCATTTCAACAGGTTGTGTATTTCACTGCTACATTTCCCTACATTGTATTAGTCATACTGTTCTTCCGTGGAGTAACACTTGACGGTGCTGTTGATGGTGTACTCTTCTATGTAAATCCTGACTTGGAGAAGCTTGCTGATCCACAGGTTTGGGTGCGTGCTGCTACACAAATCTTCTACTCACTAGGGGTAGGGTTTGGCTCATTGGTTGCCTTTGGTAGCTACAACAAGTTCCATAACAATGTTCAAAGGTTTGTTGATTTGTTTCTTCAAGGGGAAAGAATTTCAAAGGAGTAATTAAACATATATGGCATTACATGAGAATGTCACACAAAATATGTGTGCTGATGCCTAAAATTCAGCTAGCTATTATCAGTCAACCTATTAATAAATAATAATAATAATCTACTATAAACCTGGTAATAATTATAAATCTATTTCTTCTTGTAGTGATGCCCTTCTTGTGTCGCTCATCAACTGTGGCACAAGCTTCTTTGCTGGTTTTGTGATCTTCAGTGTGATGGGATTCATGGCTTTTACATTGAATACAACTGTTGATAAAGTAGCAGCAAGTGGTATGAAAACGTTTTGTGATGTCATTGAGTTAGTTGACAGTCAGATATAGTAAAATATGACTGTAGTAAATTGTCTGTCCATCCATACTGTCCAGTTCTAGCTGTGGTCCTTCAGTTAATTATTAACATCTTTCAGCCATTCAATCACTCAGTGAGACAGTGAGTAAGTCAGTCAAAGTTTCTCAGTCAATCATTCACTTGGYAATTTAATCAGTCAGTCGAACAGTCAGACAATCAGTCATAAATTCAGTCAGTTTTTCAGTTACTCATTTATTCAGTCACATAGACAGTCACTCCTTCAGTTAATCTGTCAGTGAGATAACAGAGTTTGTTGTTGTTTTTTTCAGGTCCTGGTTTAACATTTGTAGCCTACCCAGAAGCCATAGCTCAAATGCCTGTGTCTACACTATGGGCAATTCTGTTCTTCTTCATGATCCTCACACTGGGTCTTGATAGTCAGGTAATTCAACTTTGATATCATTAAATACTGTAGCCACATTCACATATCATTATTATGGACGTTAAAGCTTTGAAATAKCCTTGAGTTTCAATTTGACTGTTTCAATTTCCTTAGCTCTGTTTGGTGCTAAGGATAATTTTAATGACAGCTAAAAGAACCAAAAAATCTTTCTTAGAATGTTAATAGTAATAGTGACAATTTTCTCAATGACGTCCRCTGGAGATTAGTTAACAAACTTTCTATTAATTTATGGACAAACTGCATGTCTTCTTTGATTACCTTTGACTTTACTAAAATTGAGCTGCCAACTGAAAGGCCTCCCTGAATTAGCTTTTTATCATTCAATATGTGAACCTTTATCCTTTATTCACATCATTAGCAAGTACTGCAAAGCTTCAAAATCCTGTATTCCTTACCCTRAATTTGATTCTAGGGTTTCTTGACTATTGATATCCATGAAATCAGTCTTTGTCGTCTGTAATTTAATTGAAGTTTCAACTGCCTTTTAAACAGTCATTGTAAAGTAAAGCTATTTCATTGTTTTGATGAGTCCACTTCTAGGAGTAACACCACATTAGGGAATGCTGCAGTCACTGTGATACATTGCAAATAWTATACCTGTGAAATAGTACCAATTACTACTTGATAAAGAGTACAGCACAGTGCTGACTAAACAATGACAATGACTACAATTTAGCAGGATTTAATTGTATTTATGATGAGTATATTGTTTGTACTGAAAGTAACAAAAGGAGTATCTTACAGAAAGCATAAATGTACTTTTTCAWTTGGTACATTTAAATTTCACAGGAATATTAGCAGCGTTCTGTTATGGCATTTCTGATCCAAGGGAGGCTGGAAAGGAGATTTGGGTAAAGGGGGAATGGCTGGGTTAAGTTGGGAAGAGGGCAGATGGAATTAGGCCAGTGCCTATTATTGATTACCACTGATAATTGTTGCATTCAACAAAAACAAACAACATCAAAAAGAAAAAACAACAACAACAAAACATATAATCTTATCACCGAATCATTATTAATTTGATTGGCTTTTCTTTTATAATAATATAATGCATAAAATGTTGATTTGCATATGTAAATTTTTATCTCATTTAATCTTTTACATTGACAATATACACCATAATCCAGCTTTTTAATCATTTTATGGGATTTATAGACTGCATAATTACCGTAATGCTGTCACAATGCAATCCAAACTGTAAATATTTAACATTTAATTGCTAACCAATGATTGACTTTTAATTTATTGATTCTTTTAACTGTAAATTGACTAACAATAAATTCAATCAATCTTTATATCAACATTCCTGTTCATTATATTCGCTGTAGCTACAGGTTCGACCAGGCGCTGACCGATTGTTACTAGTTTCCAGGCCCTCATTAGCAGTTCTGCTAGTGTCTTGGTAAGCTGGGCCTCAGATTGTTAATTACACCTGCAATGTAGGGTTGGTGAACTACATAAATTTTAGATTAAAATAAAACGAAAAGGCACCACAGTTCCAGCTATAATTGAACAAAAAATGGAAAAAATGAAGAAGAGAAAAGAAAGAAAAAGGAGGAAAACTGAGCAAAACAAAAAAACAAAACAAAAAAAAAAAAATCAAGAGTGGGAAGAGTACACGAATGTACATTAGCTATGAAGACTACCATGGATTGTTTTGGTAGATATGATAGTTGTTTTTCAAAAGATTATAACTGGAACCATATGTTAGGCATGCCATCATGATCTATGCTATAATATAATAGTAGCTACATACAGAGGGTTTAGGGGGCTCAGTGGCAGGCTGCTTAGGAAGGGCTGTAGGTGGGGGTGGCTCCGCTGACTAAGGRAATAMCAACACTGAAAATAAATACTCATAAAGGTTTCGCAGACAGAAAAACAAAGTTATAGGATATGCAACCACAAAACCACKCTCTTAGACATTGCACCCCTCCACAATCTCAGTTTGCACTACAATTTTGAAGAAAAGAAGAAACCAATAAGTGGAAATTGAAGCATACAGTAATATCTGGATATTACAATGAAAACCATTTATTTTTTCCAATGTTGGTATTTCTATTATTTCCCTTTATTGAGAGTATTATGGGGTGAGCAGAGGAGACTGAGTGCAAGTCCCTTCAWTGGCATATGATGGTGAGGTAAGGTGTATAGGTGTTAAGCATTGTGGAGGACCTAATCACATAAAAGAACAAATTCGATTTTACATTGACATAGATATCTCTATGTTGGTACTTCTCAATGTTGTCTTTCCTTCTATATTATCTCACCATTACACCCACGAAAGCCAGCCCCAACCGATGATTGGGCAATTTGCGTGTTGCATTTACAAAATTCCTGTGATATGCATCAATACAGCATACATATCTATCTCAAAAAAATACTATCAGAAAAAATGAACACTAACTTATAATATAAAGCAGTGGTCTTAGGTTTACAATGGACTCCAGTAACCAAAAAACAATCTTTGTTATAATGTTTCAAAACTTATTCTGTTGTGTACGAAAAACTGCTGTGTTTGTAAAGGCCTTTGTCAACCATGTGACTCACTGTGTTCTACTGGTTATAATATCAGTTAACAAAAAAATAAAAAAAATAGATAAACGTTTTCATATCTAAACAAAGTCTCTGGAGGCATTGTGCAATATATATTAAAAAAAAGGTTTAACTAGCTTATTTTTCTGATATTTGAATAATCAAAAGGTATTTCGGTGCATGCTGGTTGACTAGGGCCTTTAAAACCATCTAATCATTATAAGCCTGTAGACGGTGCAGCTTTTGCCTACAACTATCGCATGCAACATGCCTAAGTCATCATTACAACATGGCTACAACTGTTGTAGGGTTATCAAACAATTGTTTTTACCTCTTCGAGACAGTTGTAGGCAAGAGTTGTACTGTCTTAATCGGCATTTTATAGAAGCAGCTCTCATGAGGGAGGGAGGAAGGGGTACAAAAATAACATAGAGCTAATTCCACTGTATAGGCTGATCCCTCATGTGAACAGCGCATAACTCCATTTTAAGCGCACATCCTATTAATAATTGTAGTATTCTAATATATTGTGTATTTGTTGTGTAGTTCGCCATGGTGGAATGTGTGATCACAGGACTAACAGATGAATATCCTAAATTCTTAAGAAAGTATAAATGGCTGATGTTGATCTTCATGTGTGTTGTGATGTTCCTATTGGCTATTCCAATGTGCGCAGAGGTAAATACTAAAGCTTGGTTTTCATTATGATTTAAA